GTAAAATCTTTTTTCACTCTCGCTACATTGTATATTATAATAGGTATACGATATCATAGAAGATAGACTATACTTTTTTACACAGCGAATAGACAAAAAGTACTAATCAATTGCACGGCAAACGTATGCAGCTCACTTGTCATTAACATTATACTTACTACAACGGTCAATCGACCGCTTTTTATTTGAGCACAATTTTTAAATTCAATGTTTTCGCTTTTTCTCAATTTACTGTACGACTTACTCTACAATGTATGTATAGCTACTTAATTTTTCAATGTCTGTCTCTCTTCTTCTTTTGTTTCTTCTAATACGCTGGTAAAATGTGCCAGCGTATTAGTTAGTATTTGCGCTCGAGTGACGACTCAAAGGCGCCATTAAAAATTGTTCTGTTACGTTTAAAAACTATTAAAACTGTAACTGTTTTTTTATTTAAGCTAGAAACCTGTATATATACACAGTTAGTAACAAAAGAAATAACGTAAAATTGCATGTTACATAAGTAAGAGCAGAACAACAGCCAAAGATACATGAAAAAAATGCAGTATATAATATATTTTATTTGAATTTGAATAACAATATTTAAATTACTGAAGTAAAATATAATTTTCCTAATTTCTAGCGTTTTCTTTCTAAGGAATGTATATGTTTAAAATGCAAAAAGCTAATGTTTTCTAATTATTACGTAAAGGTTATTTTGCGTTTTATTGCCCATGCTAAATTGTCTATTACTTGTAATCAGCTGGAAAAGAATGTAATGTTTATTTAGAAAGCGGTCATTTCACCGCTTTCCGTAGGAATAAATACAGGATAGTGGAGCCTGTTACTGTGGGATGACCAATTGTTGTGCCTTTGGTTTGTTTTACGACGTAATTAACTGCATATTTATCGAATAAGACATATTCAATCTAGTTACTCAAAAATGTATAAAATAGAAGAGTATAATAGAAGAGCCTTATTCGACAAATATAAATTTAACTATGCCGGAAAACAAACTAAAGCCACAGAACACAATTGGTCACTCCACAGTGACCGGATTCACTAGCCTGTAAAAAATATCGGTAGGTTTAGTGCAAAAGTTGAAATTAAGCGCATATTGTTCATATAAAAAATATAATAAGTTTAGCAATATAATTTAATTTGTTATATTTTGATTAGTCGCGGTACATGACAACGATTATAAAGTCGTTGTAGATATATAAAATGTGTAATTATAACTTGGCATTTTGTACAATATGATTTAAATCATTCTTTAACTCTAAGAGTCTCTTTCCAGCATACTCTATTAATTTAACTAAATAGGTCCAATGATTTGTATAATGTTTATACTTGACGATCTTGCTGTTCATGCCAAAATCTGGTTACTTCGCTGTCTAGAATATTCTTTTACAAACTTTACAGTGAGAACGCTTGCATTATCTTGTTGCAAAATCAAGTTTATGTCCGCGATATCTACAGCGTGGCTCTTCAACGGTTCGTCGACTAAAGTTATATAATTTAGGCAGTTCATTCTTCCACTTATAAACTCAATATCAAGATCATTATGCAAAACAGAAATTGTCTGCATCGATTGTAAGAAGCAGAATTCAGTTAGAAGTTTCTTTCTTCCTTTAACAATCTTAATAAATTGAGAATATTATATTTATATAATTCGTATAGTATCGTAATATTTATATAATTCGAAACCAGCAAATACCCATCTCCAGATGTGAATTAACGACGAACTCATAATTTTTGAAAAGATTATGTTCACCCTAATACGTGAAGTAAAGGTTGAAAATTGCGATGCATAACGTACTCGACTACGAAGGGGGGGGGGGGTATTGGGACAATATAATTTTACAGCATTGTTGCTAAAAATTAAATTAGATTACAAAATCTGATCAAGTTCGTAAATGACTTCGAAGTAACATCGAGCTACAGAGATTGAAATTCCTTTAATTTTTCTACTGTTCTACGTTTTTTCTTCTCACTTTTTTGTCGTAGACGCGTAATATCCGCAGTCAAATAAAATATGCCTACAGTTCGTAATCTTACTTTCACGCATAATCTTTCATCTGCATATGTATTAACGAGAAATCTGTCTATGGAACATAAACATCGCTAAAAGCATACAGCAGCGGTCATAAGTTTAAGACGATGAATTTTAATATCAGTTATACGCGCATTGTATCACTGTTACTTATTTATTCAGTTTGTTCCGTTTTGAAATGGGCAGATGCAGGTGTTACTTTCTTAATCTCAAACATAGGGCTGCAAAATTTATGCAAAACAAAGGTTGTTTTTATGTTTCTAGTATCCCGACTTTTATGAACGCTGGTTTACGCTGGTTTACGACGATCTGCCTAGCGAGAAACACTTTACAAATTCGTATGTTATTTTAATATACAAATATCAAAATCCATGTATTGTGTGTCTTTGGTCGATTTAAATTCATTTACCGAGCATAAAAGTATGGGTAAACCACGGCATTTACTACTTAACGAAAGGAAACAAGTCGTAAGACTGCGTAACCAAAAGAAGACATTTAACGGACTAGCAACTACTGTTGCTATTTCCATCTTGAGAAACGATCGCATAAGTTTCTTTATTCAAGCTTACATTACAATGAAAATGGTGAAACGTTTAAATCAATTCAGTTCTGTCATTCTTATAGATACACACGTTAGTCTCTTTCAGGGCTTGATAGGTTTAGTGTTAACGGGCCAGAAACTGTTTGAAAGCAAGCGTGGTACACATTTTAAAGAACTAGTTATTATTCTGACCGGCTGAAAGCTGACAAACTACGAAAAACATCCACAAAAATGGATCGTCGCATCCATCATTTGCGCGAGAACGATCGTTTTCGTTCTTCAACTGATATTACAACTCAATGTAAACAATGATGTACAAATTGATGCTGGAACGGTTAGAACACCGTGGCAACATTTTTAATTTCAAGCACGAAGACCACGTAAGAAACCAACCCCGAGTATCAAAAACCGAAAAATGAAACTTACATCTGCCAAGGCTCATAAACACTGGACAAGTCAGAATCGGCAAAAAGTATTATTCTCGGACGAATTGAAGTTCAATCGTAGTTCTTCTGACGGATTACAATACACGAGACATCGTGTCTGCAATCACGGTGCTTTTTACCAATTTCTTTCTGCCGCTAATTGCGTTTATGTAATACATGAACTCTTTTTCAGATGTCATCATGATAGTTTCAAGAAGAAAAGTACGTCTAAGAAATATTAAAGAATAACGATACCGAATCGCGATCATTTTCCTCGAATCCGATAAATATTCTTGTACATTACCTACAAACGAAACTCAAACTTCGTGAGTGTTCGTGTATTATGTTAGAAAAAATTAACCGGCTAATATTCATTCTTATATTACTGGGTCCAGTTGAAGATGGAAAACTTGTCGAGATGAAAACGTGTTCTTAAAAAATATGAACATTGGTTGAATACTACTATCAACAATCTTGATTCAGTAGATGCAAGTTCTAATGGAAGTAACGAAAAGCTCGGTCGCAGAAAACATTTGGTTCTAGTGCACCCAAATCAACCCAATTACCCAAATGAAAAAGGCAAACGGTGCAATCATTGCTCACAGAACGATCTTTGACCCCTTCTTTGCAGTCCATAATTTGCTAGAATAAAAAGATCTCTAACTATTGTATGTCTACATGTTCTCCAATGGCTGTACATTCATAACAAGAAAATAGAATATTATTTTGGTTTAAGGGAAATTAATAACACACATATTTACTAGACTCTGTCCAGAGTCTGCACCACGAGTCCGAGACGATGTTATAAGATAAGTGGTTAAGAGAACTAACGCATGCCGCGCATGTGGCAAATGTGGCAAAAGGAATAATGCCAATACCCTGACAGAATTAACCAAGAGTTCTAAAAGTGTCACTAAATAAAAAACTCCAAGAAACTGAATATAGAATTGTCAAATTCTCAAGCAACAACCGAAGACGAAACGAAAGAAAACGACAGTGACTATTTTTCTAATATTTCCAATGATATTACGTTTCCTTGTGGTACAAGATCATGCTGATTTGTCCATATAAATTTTATACAATTATGAGTTTTCGTTGTTCACGTAATTTCGTCCCGCTAGATTCGCAAAAGCTTACACCGTGCGCCGGTCGGGTGGGGATATGCGCCGGGCTCGTTTGTGCAACTTGGGCCAGCATCCCGGGCCACGCGGCTTTTCTGCTCGTCTTTTGAAGTCGCGTGGCTTCAGCTGCAGAAGAAGCGCGCTACCCGGCGAGGTTTCACGAAATCCTGGGGCCCGAGAGCGTATCATGTACTTACGTGCGTAAACCAAGCCAGTCAGGAGCGGGCAGCGATCGTGGCACTGCGCCCTGTAGGCGTTTCCGTACGTAAGAACGCCCACCGCGTTCCTCGCTAGGTGATCGCTTACCAACCAAATAGCAGGGCGTAGCCGACAGTGAGACCCCGGTGATATATACCCCGTTAGTCCCAGAGCCTCGACGGCCCCCTTCTTTTTTCTAGGCGGCCGGGTTTGACAAAGGAAGATAGAAAGCCCCCCATTGCTCGACACAGTTGGAGGGACACGAGGGTACCAGTGGCAGAACTGACACGTTATTGCACCGGTACCCCTCGCAACGAAAGCTACGCGTGCTGCCTGCTTATTCGTTTTCTTGTTTAGTATCTCGGCCTGGAACGGTCTGGCTGGCTGGCTGGCTACCCCGCGATAGTCCCCCTACCGAGCCCGTTTTTCCTTTCATTTTCTTCCTTTCTTTTTTTTTTCTCATCCCTTCTGCACTCCGCTCGTTCTCCTCTATCTCCGGGCGCGTGTCCTGCCCTCCACGCGAAGCCGATGCATCTCGTCCGTCCTCCGTCCTTCCCGTTCTCCGTCTCCGTCGTCGCGTCGCGTCGTGCCTGCCTTTTTACCGCGAGCTACTCGGGTCGGCGTGCTTCTTTCCACCGATAGCGTCGCGAACTCGTCGTTCGTGAAAACCGATATTGTTGTGTCTTTGTTGTCGTCGGACGGAGTGAATTGGGGACCACATACCCACGGATTTTTTAGTGCACGGTGTACACACGTGAATCGGGACCACCACAACAGCCGGCATGGATGTCACCAACGGCATGAGGCCCATTTTCGGAGGCTACCCGTTTCAAGGTTGGTACCCTAGGCGTTTTTAAGAGAAACGCCGCGTGTGTCGATGCTCCGATGCATTTCGGTCTACGCGTTAACTGAGCCACAGAATACAGTATTTGTATATACTCCCCTCCAAAAGTAATGGGACACTCACAGGAAATGAAATAAATTTGAGAAACCGATAGGAAATTATTATAATTTCTTCAATTTGTATCATCGTTAATTGTATGAGACTGCAACAAGTACATATATGTCTATATAGTTATTATATTATAATAGGAATAAAGTCAATCTCATAAAAGAAAATACAATTTTCTTTTCGTCGAGGCATCCACAGCATTTTGTTATTACTTCTTGGACTAACTTCGGCATCCGTTACATCAGTAATGTAATGCCACAAAACCTCTTAATGCTGAACATAAAACATTACCTAAACTGAATGAGAAATTACAATTTATACTAAATCAGCGGGTGTACTAATTCTTTTGGAGAGGTGTGTATCTATCGGGAGAAAATCGTGAAAACAAATTCGACCGACTGAACAAAATAGCGCGATTGAAAATACAATCAATACGAAGATCTTTAACCCCCTTGCGCTACGATTTCTTTCACGATCTGCGTCGATTCAGCACTCTTTAATACCTTGAAACGTACGCTGACAGTAGAAATTTTAATGAGCTGCAGAAATAGACGGGTGGTTTTGTTCTTAATCCAATCGTGATATCCAAATTTTGATTAATCAAAGTTTCGTTCGAGTGCTCGGACGCATTTTAACGTTTCGCACTCCGATGTCGTCGCTACGGCGACACTAAATTATTGATAGTGCAAGGTGATCGTTAAAGGGTTCGTTAAATAATCTATCTGCGTTGTGAAAAATATACTTTACTTGTTTACATAAATATGGCACGTGTTTACGTACCAAACGCAAGGGACACACAAATCATAATGTACATATGAATCCAGTACACAAGTAAATTAATTCATCAAGCAGACGCAAAAGTCGTGGTTGCTTACCATTTATTATTATTTCTCCGTTAATTATTTCTCTCTTTATTAATTTTTTATTTATTGTGCACTGCGATATATCCGGACAATCTGTGCCATTTGTTTTGAGTATTTTATGGCAATATAATGATATTTATTTTAACTCAACTTTTGGTGAATTTGGTGAATCGGACAAAGCTTCGGAATGTAAAGGGTTAATAGCTATATTTTTCGAACACAAAGAAAAGGCGAAATGAAATTAAGATATTCAGTGAACCGGTCAACTATTACATTAAAATGCATAATAATTTCAAGAAATAAACGATATATAGAATTTAATGCATGATAACGTGGCTTATAAATTTGAATGTTACAGCATTCACGTCATTTTGCATAAAATTGAAAATGAATGCTATAGCATTCGCGTCCACGAACATGTTAGCTGCTGAATAACAACCCTCAAGAATTCCCACAATATCGAAGTTAATTAATTAATGAAACCGAACCTAGATAGTTAAAATTTACAAACTGGATAACTGTGAAAGATTGGAAAATCGATGTGCATAGAATGCAGAACTCCTGTGTGACATTTCTAAACAAAATCACTATGTACATGATACGAATATTTCTCTACTAACAGTATCTGCACGATCATCTTTAGGATATCGCGAAACAAAATACGCGAGCAATATGACAAATTAATAACAAAAAATTAGTAATAAATAAAAAATTAATAGTGCATGGATTGGAAGCAGTGTTTGGTTCACGTAGGAAACGCGAATTGTATGTTTCGAAGACGGTTCATTGAACGCGAGCAGTTCTGAATCGTGGACCATCGTAAAAATAATTAGATACGATCATTTTAGCCGTAACGTATAAAGTTTGTGTCCAAAGAATTTCTAAATCAATCAACGATCGCGTTTCGACTGTGTTATATGGTTTATAAATGTGCGATACGAATGTAAACGAATTCATCTGTATCATTTCGTCATTAAGTATGAAATGCATAGGGTAAAATGTGCATTTCATTTAAACAAGCCGATGGGGCGTTTAATTAAACTAGTACAATAGAGACATTATTATTTTTAATCTATTAAAATAATCAAAGAAAGAATGAACTTGCTATGTAGTCTTTAATTCATGCAATTTGTGCAGACAATTTTTATTTTGCATAAAAATCCGCATCCTACTTATGACCATTTTCAGCTTCATTCGTCGCTTTTTCAAAAAACATATTTTTTAAAATACTTCTTGCAGATCTTTCTTTCTGTTGTTCCCAGTGCAAGAACAATTGCCAAAAATTCGTTAATCAGGATCAAAACATCTTCATCGCATACCTCGTTTTCTGTTTCGGTGATATTTTTTCCTGCGAAGAAAACCATCAATAACATATAAAACGCAATGTGGCGAATAAACTGCGGATTTTATGCATTCATTAAAAAAAATGAGCAGTTTGAATGTAAAATAGTGTAGCATTTAAAGAATTTACAATCACGGTTATATTCTTATCGACTCGTTAAAATCATTAATAAGAAAAACGAATGTGTATGTAGCTGTTTGTGTCTCGGAATTGACGCGAACAAATTTTATTTCGCATGAAAATTCGCAGTCTAGTGATAAATCGATTATGTAATTGAAAAGAACCCTACAATCAGCGACTATTTTCCAGACGATTGAATTGTAACAGTTAATCGTAATAACTGGCAGGCTCCGCCGTTCAATATCCATTTGGCTAATAAATACTCAAGAAAAACTTCGTTACGATCAGAAGGATTAAGTGACACCTCAAAGTATCTTATACGAAAGAAATTATTCATTAATTGGCACGGTGCAATTCATCCGACTCGTTCATCTCTCGCAGCAGGCATTGAACTGGAGGCGTAGGCTAATCGTCTTGCTACGCTAGTTTCTACAATCTAAATCACGGTAAATATCAATTTGGCTCAGTCATAAATAACTTCCATTACAGACAAAAAGCTGTTGAACGAGTACGAGATGACAATAGCGATGAGTAGACCGCTGTTTCAATGCATTTTCGACAAAAATGAGTAGGTCAAAGCACAAGAAAGATTAAACAAAATTCAAGAATATCTCTATGTTATTTGCAACTTGCTAAAATTGTGAAAGGACGAAGGAAATCTCTACCCAATTACTGTCGTTGCAATTCACAAAGAAGGTTTTTATTTTTCATAGAGGTCTACAGTTCAATAATGAGAATGGTCAAATGGAACAGCAATTACCAAGCATTGCAATAATCGAGATTTTAGAAAACATTAAATAGTCTGGCCTGTTATTAGAGAATTTAAAAAATTAAATTGGGAGTTATTTCTGGTTCAATCTAATGGATATTAGCAAGCATTTGATCGTTTAATAAACGACAATCATCTTTAGCGTACTCGTACAGATTTTCTATCACAAGTGTTCGACGAACTGAATGTATTTGCAAGTATCTACCTATGTTCGTAATCGAACTTGGGGATTCTCTTTAACAAAACTAACAGACACATCGAATTCAAACTTTGTAATTTTAATCAAACGTTGTTTCTCCCTAAAGCTGTAACTAGACTACGGATTTTATGCATTTCTGACGAACATAGGTACGCGAAATTTAAGACAGTTGCATAATTCAAATAATTGTAGGTTATAAATATCCTCTTAACTTGTCAAAGTTATTAACCCTTGCATAACGATGGTCGGGACTGTGGCAACCTTTATGTATTACATGTAAGGAAATATAATAAATTAGTTGATATAAATAGAAAAAGTGAATGACTTTTTATTTCCTACCATTTTTCGCCGTGGAAAAGTAACAATAATCAAAAAATAAATAAATCAATGAAAGTGAAATGAAGCTCTCTTATATGTACGTGTTGCAGCAAAACGGATCATGCGAGAGCCAGCCACCGGTCACTATAGCCCGTCATGCGAGTGTTAAAGAAAGATATAAATTCTAAGAGTTTTGAACAATGTTTATTTGGCATAAATATCCGCAGTCTAATTATGATAGTTCTATCAACTTATCCTATTAACGATTTATTTTCTTAAGATGCATTTGATTGATGCATGAAATGTAAAGAAATGTAGAAATCTAATAGCATTTCTATTCTTCTTCTACAGTGAATAATTTTTTAGATGATCAAGAAAACTTTTCTTTGATTCTAATTTTTGCAAAATATTGTATGAAAATGAAAATTTGCATAAAGATCATAATAATAATAATACAATAAACTTCTGTTAATATACACCTTATCTTGCATTTTACAATCTTAAAAATCTAGAATTTAAAAAATTTAGAATTCAAGAAAATAGAAACTTCGAACTATCCTCTGTAGGATAAAATAACCCTCTATAGTCAAAATTTGTTATATGAGTATCAAAAAACGGATATACCACGAAACCAGTAAACATTAAACTTCACAAATAAATTAACCCGTTGCTTTACGAATTACTTGCAATCTATATATTGGTCTGAACGTTTTCATCGTCCATAATCTCCTATGAGAACACGAAAATTTATATTTGTTATATGCCAACGTTTAATCTAATGATCAAATATTGCTAACGAGGAAATAGAATTTTATTTTGGTTTAAAAGGAATTTACAATGTTTCACGTTTTCTAAATTCTGATCGAAATCCTATAGTGCGAGAGGTTAACAACGAATTCATAATTTAAAGGGATATTTTAATGTAAACTCTTTTTTAGCTTTCGTTAACCTTTTTGGGGATTTATTTGCGAAGAAACTATAACAGCTTTTGCAGTCACTTTTTAAACATGAATTTATGCATGTTTCAACAACATTTAAAGATTTTCTTGGGTTAAAAAGAGTTAAAATTGATGACATTGGCTACTTGGAACATGGGCGAATTTCGGCAATGAATTTCCCATGATAACCATGATTGCGGCCATTTTGTTTATCCAAAATGAAAAAAAATGTGTAAGATTCTTAATTAGTATGAATTTCGCTATGCCAGGTATTAGAACAAAAGTAAACAAATCTTGAAATTTGATTCTCGATTTTTCCTATTGATTTTTCAATATTAGAAGCTTAAAAAATATAGAAATTAGAAATCTTAGGTTGGTTCTAGTACGAACGATTGGCATAAGTACATTGAATGTGCATCCAAATTTTGATGGCAATCGTTTAAGTGGATTTTCAGATATCATGGTCATCGTTTTGAAAATCATACTTTCGAGAAAAACACATTCAAAGTTTTGTATTTTTGTAGTATACTGATCACTCATATTATAAATATCATATTCATTACAACTTTGTTAACTTTAAGAATTCAGACGTAAAGTATTATAGACGTATTTTTGAACCTACATTCTTTGCGAAAATATAAAAGAAATCAACTGTTCCAAAGGTTCACACTAATATATCTCCTTAAAAGAGATTGAATTTACTTCGATGTGTGATGTAAAAATGAAAAATCTTCCATACTAACTGCAGAACAAGACACTTTTGTCACATTGTGTGTAAATATGAAATTCAATGAAGGAAGAAGATCAAAATAAGTATGTGACTGCGAAGTTACACCGATCCATAAAAGGCTGAAAATTAACATTTTTATACGAATCCGCATCCAATTTATGTGAATTCACTCTTCGCGGACTTCCACGTACATACAATATATATTCTGTATGATCTTTAAGAACGTGCATAATTAAATCTGACGCAATGCACGTAGAAAAACGATCGTTGCCGAACGCATGTCATAAACCAGAGTTTGGCCAAAGATGTTATTAACGTAATCGTATGCTTCCGGTGTTTGCTCAGGTTCGAACCAGATTTTTGCATGCGGGGACGGTAATTATTGTGACGGAACCGCGGTGTAAGATGCCAAAGAAAGTAATGCCATGTACGGAAGGATGGCTAATTCGACTAACGATCGGGCATTACATTCGTCAGACATGGAAATGATCTCCCGTGCGCATAACTTCTTCAATTTTACGGCTGTTAGTTTCATTTTTGGTATTCCCGGCTCGAACTCGCCGACCTGTTATCTGATTTCACGTGTGCGTCCCGGACCTGAATTCAGCTGCTAATTTCAAGCCCAATCACTGCAATTGCAACTCAAATTTTTTCGTTTCTCACCTCTGAACCACGCTCCGAGCTGCTCCGGCTGCTGTGCGTCCTCTGCTCAATAATTGAATATTCCCCGATTACGGCAAAAACAAGCGGATTAGGCGAAACGATTTCAAAATCGTACAATTTCACACTTCTCGTTTACTTTTCTTTGTTCTTTTGTTATTCGATGCCTTTCTTTCACGGAAACGAAGACAGCGTTGTGCTTTAAGGGGGCATCCCAGTCTGAAGTGCGCGTGTTATTAACTTTGTTCGGGAATTTTTCGCAAAGAAACCTATTACAGTCAAATTGACAAGGTTTATTTGTAACAACGTTTTAAAATTTGTTGGAACAGAAAAAAGTTAAAATTAGTGGCGCTCTCGAACATAGTCGTTTTAAAAAAGGTCGTATCACGATGGCCATGATTCCGGCCATTCTGCTTGTCCGAAATAAAGAAACGTGATATTTTCTTAATTAGTATGAATTTAGCTATAGCAGATACTAGATTAAAAGAAAAAAGTCGGTAATAAAAAAAAGTAGCGATACTTTGAAATTCGACTATCGATTTTTGCATGTTTTGTCAAACTTCGGAGGCCTGAAAAATAGGGAAAAAATACAAATTTTTGGTTAATTCTAGTAGGATTCTAGTCAGACATGTGTACTAAATGCGTGTTTAAAATTTTGAGTCAATTGATCAAGTAGGTTTCGAGAAAAAAATGCCTTTAAAATTTAGCACAATATCTATAATGATGTATGGTCATCGCATCTTTCAAACAACCGTAACTTCGTTAATTTTTGGAGTTCGTATGTGAGGTTTCAGAGATATATTTTTGAAACTATATCCTTTAAGAATATGCAAAAGAAATTGATTTTTTTAAAAATTCACACTAGAATACCCTCTTAAAACGAGAGTCCTGCCCCACGAAAAAGTATTAATTTCCATCATCTTCTATTATGTAAACAGTAACCCCAAAAATTGTACGTTTTTGGTTCCTCGGATTTTGGTACTGAATTTTGTGTCATTTGATAGAAATATTGATCGCTATAAATTTTCGAGTTGTACCGATAATTAGTTTCTGAGATAGGGGTGGTCAAATATGTTGAAATTAGTTGACGCGTTAGCCTGCTTCAATGTACTTATTAATTAGAGTAATTTCCACGATTTTGATTCTTGGGAGCGGTGATGGATACGGATTGACCACATCCCCGAAACCATGTACATGTTATAATTATAATAATATGGCTGCAGCAACCAACAGTTGAGGCAACAATTTCGTATGTGCGGAAATACGCTATAATAGATATTCTCGTCCCGTTTTGGCTTTATCGGCTTGTATAAAAGCGTGGTTATGTATTCCATCGCGGTATTGAGATTTCACGTATGCTTCAATTAATCAATTGATTTTCAACAAAAATTCCGTATCTTGAATCATTTACAGCTGCCGTTGAATTGTTTAGAGTTTGATCTAAACCTATGAATATAACTAAATTTATTTTCCATCAGTTAAAATACATAATTCTCACGGAACTGAAAATATTAATTACTGAAACCATAAATATTACTTTAGATTTGAGAAACTATGTTACAATTATTTACTTTGCAAACCGTTAACTTTTTGACGGATATTATAGCAAAGTTCAATGACTGTTAAAACATTTCTCGATGTACGGTTCGCTATATTGGATTAGTCATCGTGATATTTGAAAATCTAAGTTCATGTCCGTTGTCAGCAGTTGAGAAACTGTCGGGGAACCATTTTTTAAAACTATTAAGTTTATGTGAAAGTCCTTACATCGAAGCGTATGAGACCACCGCGTAAATGAATTTTGACTTTTTCGACCACCCATATTTTAGAAATTAATTGTCAGCTCAACTTGAAACTTGTGATCAACTCGTGATCAATGTGTCATCGTAAGTAATCGCTTGGCATATAATCGCAGGTCCAAAAAGGGGCGAAAATTGCCTCACATTTTGTGGTTACTCTTTGGCTACTATTTGTTTTTGAGAATTATTTAAACAGAATAATATATGCACTGAAGTCATCAGTTTCTTCTGTCTTTAAACATACCATTGAATGATCAATGTTTTCTTTTCTCGTATTTTAACTGATGCTCAAAATAAATCATTATAATTTTCAGAGCAATGTGCGTACTTTCAGATTTACAAACGCAAAATGGGGAAAACTGATTACATACTCTAGCATATAAGCTCGAAGATAGTCAAATTTATAAGCTTGATTTTCAGAGTAGAACTATCCAGAATGGTATGAATTGTTTAAGCTGTTCGTTTTATCTTGTAATGCAAGTCTAGTTCTTTAATTCTTGTAAAAATCAAGTGCTACTTTTTGCAAGATTCTGTGTAATTTTATTTTCAAATTTACGGCTCTTTCGCAAATTCTCCGTAAAATCGTGATCATTGTCGGTCATTTATTAAAATTAACTGTTTCAGATAGTTTATCACCCTACATTTATAGAATACACATATATTTTAATACACGCGTACCATATAATCTACAGTATATCTACAGTATAATATCTATTTGTAAATAAATATGAAAATATTGAGTATTAAAAAATCTTTCAAATAAAAGTTAAATGGCTTCTAGGGATTACGATGATTATCTAATGATGTTATGTTGCATCTTAATTTTATACCTATTTGCATTCAAAAAATCGTGAATATTCAGTTTCTAACAACTGATTTAAATTTTCACATGTTCCATTAAGGTCTCTGGAATGATTAACGTATTTAGGAAGAGTATCTTAAGAAATGTGTTAAGCGGTCTTGTACTGTAGAACGCGTTTTTTCTATTCTTTGGCATTTTTTAATGAAAAAACCCGTACAACCTCTTGCTCAAACGTTTTTCCAATGTATTTGTTTATCTTCCAATATTATTTGCAAATTTTTAGAAAGAAGGATAAACAAAATTAAGTGAGAATAAAGAGCCACGTACGCAATCACGTATCAAAAAGATGCTCCCATGGCTTCCACGATTTCAGCCATTCTATTTGTCTATAACAAAACAAAAAAAAAACGAGAAAGATTCTTATAATTTGAAAATGAATAAAGAAAAGAAAATGCAATTTTCCCAATGACAAAAACTGCAATCGATTGTCCGATGTCGATCACTCCTAATGAAATAGGTAGCTATTATAAACGCAATTGTAAATAAACAGGCGCAACACGCTTATCGAATTATGTGCGATTAAATATTTACGAACACGTTTGCCTGTTTTCAATGAAAGAGTTAAGAGATTGGTGAAATATTTTGTCAGGGCAAGGACGTATGAATCAACTGGGAGGAGTCTTCATCAATGGTCGGCCGCTTCCGAATCACATTCGACTGAAAATAGTCGAAATGGCATGTAAGGGAGTTCGTCCTTGTATCATATCTAGGCAGCTTCGCGTGTCTCATGGGTGCGTTTCAAAGATCTTAAATCGTTATCAAGAGACCGGCTCGATCAGACCTGGTGTCATTGGAGGCAGCAAGCCAAGAGTAGCTACACCCGAGATCGAGTCAAGGATCGAAGAAATGAAGAGAGACAATCCCGGCATTTTCTCGTGGGAAATCCGAGACAAACTCGTAAAGGTAAGGAATAAAGCAAAATTTATTTCAATTTAGTGCAATTTATTCCGACTGTGGGTACAGTAGCGGACAAAAGATTAAGACGAAAAGAAAAAAAGAAATTGATAAAATGCACTGTGATTGCAAATATTCTTCAGAACGACCTCTCGCATATTGCAATCTATCAGAAGAAGTGCGATTATACTTCAATTTGTCCGATTCAATTTGTCCAATTTTTACCGATCCTGACTTGTTCCAATGTTTATGAGCTTTAGCTGATGCAAATTTCATTCTTTTTGTAATGAAGTTGAAGAACAAAAACGATCGTTCGCGCGCAAATGATGGATGCGACGATCCATTTTTATGATTGTTTCTCGTAGTCTGCCACAGCTTTTACTTGGTCAGAATAAGAACTAGTTTTTAAAAATGTATGCCACGCTTGCTTTCAAACAGTTTCTGGCCCGTTAACACTAAACCTACGAAGCCCTGAAAGAGACTAACGTGTGTATCTATAAGAATGACAGAACTGAATTTATTTAAACGTTCCACCATTTTCATTATAATGTAAGCTTGAATAAAGAAACTCACGCAATCGTTTCTCAAGATGGACTTTTCACAATTTCAACAATTTGCTAACAACAGTAGTTGCTAGTCCGTTAAAAGTCTTCTTTTAGTTACGCAGACTTACGACTTGTTCCCTTTCGTTAAGTTGTAAATGCCTTGATTTACCCATACTTTTATGCTCGGTAAATGAATTTAAATTGACCAAAGACATACTGTACAGTAATTTCTCCCCAACTCGCGCTCAGATTGTGCACAAAAATGGACAATTTGGGAAGAGGAGATAGGATTATTCGAGCCTTACAGCTCGTTTTTATAGTTGTTGAAAATCTGACCATAATTTGCATAAATTTCGCAGTCCTATGTTTGAAATTAAGAAAGTAACATCTGCATCTGTCTATTTCAAAACGAAACAAAGTGAATAAGTAAATAACAGTTATATAATGATATTAAAATTCATCGTTTTAAATTTATGACCACTACTGTATCTTGTTCTTAACCTTGAATTGGTGATATACGTCAAAATTGACTCCCAACACTAGTTGTGATGTAAAACGTCGAATTGACTCCTTGTAACTACAATAGTAGTAACTTAATGTCAAATTGATTCTGTATCATTAATGGTAATTTGATATCAAATTGACATCGTATCAATAATGGTGACTTGACATCAAATTGACTTCGTATCAATTATCACTAGTGATATTAAAACACTGGTCGCCAATTGAAGGTTAAATGCAAATATCAAACTAATTTACGTTGATATTTATGCATCTTATGTGGAACAAATATTGACCCTTTGAAGACGAATGTCGACTTATTGACAGACATCAGAACAATATATATTGTTTCAGAAGATATAAATATATAATTTAATTATATACATAACAAAAGATCAGAATATATTGTTCATTTTTCGTATCATTAAAATCTTTGGTACATAATCAGGTTCTCTGAAGAAAATATTTTTAGTATGTTAAAAAAGTTGGTCCTTTGCCTCTTATTGCAATTTTTTCGTACGAGATCCTTGACGCATTAGTAAGTAGACTGTGGTTCTTTGTGCAAAATAAAGATTACCTGCGTCAAGCGTAAGAAGGAGTAGATAGTTAGAAATTTCTTTCTTCACTCAACAATCTTAATAAATTGCGAACAATACGTCGACAATCTTTCAACACTAAGTTTACGGATCTCGTCAAGATGACGGATCACTAATTTTGTAATTTACGATTCGGATTGTAAAGATGCATTTATAAGTTATATATTCAATATACGTGTCACTTGTGGCAAACACTGATGACACTGGTTAAAAAATCAAAATAAATGACTTACTGCTACTTTTATAAACTAATATAGAACAGCTGCTCCGTAAATCTAGTGTTACATTCCTTGAATCTTTTCACTGTCGAACATTTCTTTTACTAATTTTTGCCATAAATGCATAAAATCCGCAGTCTATTAATTCGTAGTCAATCCGCATAATTGCTGTGATTCGTGATTTATCGATTAAATTCAATGCCACTTGTATATCGTTATAATTAATTAATCAAAGGTGACACGATATGGCAGTGTAAATTATATTATTCGTTCGAAAAGATTACAACAGATAAAATAACAAATACATTGATATATGTGCATATGAGAAAATTTTGACCTTTTGAACGTAATTATGGTATCACTGAGTGGTGGTATAATTTCATAGCATCTCAGAAAACTTCAATGAAATAATAATTATAAATCCTAGATTGTGTGTGTGTGTGTGTGAGAGAGAGAGAGAGAATCATTCTCGTCCATGATCGCATTTTCAAATAAATGATACTATAAAGTTCCAACAGGATTTGAATGTGATAAGAGAGAACTACATATTGTAATTATTATTGGAGATAAAATACGATATACATATACTAAATAAGATATATACTATTAGTAATTTAATAACTAACTAATTAATTATTATTGATTATTTATTAATTCATTAGCAATGAATTACCACGACGAGGAAGTAGAACGTGAAGCAGTTCGAGTATTACATTTGTGCAAATAATAATAGAATGTTTGCTTGCTTTTCATCATTTACGCAACCATGTCTTGTCAAACATTCATTTAACATGTCGGTAACCTTGTCTCAACAAGGTTCAAATAATAGCTTGTCCGTCATTATTCTTCATTGCGATTGGTATCTGCGGTTTCAAGCAATCAGCTATATTTTTGTTTCATTCATGAATGTTATCTTCCGAAAGAACGATTAGTTTTATGTTTAATATTTTACCATAGTGAATGGTTAATAGAGAATGAATGGTATCATAGAGTAATCAGTAGTTTTGCTTTGTTCAATGAAGCAAACCTTTGCAACAACGGTATACAATCGTAAGCGAATTTTTTGTTATTGGACTATCAGGTGTAACGTATCATTTTACGAGTACGAGTAATAACGAAATCATTTACTTAATAATTCGTTTATATCTTGTGCACCGAAATTTATCGTGATAGAAAATCACTTGTGAAACCACTTGTACGATCACTTTACGAAAAGAGGATTTGATGTATCCTAATTAGTTTGTTACTGTGAGAACTAACATGAAGCATCGCGTATATTATTTATTTTACAATAATGATAAAACCTGTCCAAAAGATACGCGACAATTTACAAAGATGCTTGAAGAAATCGACGTCTGAATTCACAAGTCAAAACAATAGTTGGGCAAAATAAAACTAACGAATACAATTTTATATCGCACTGTCGAATAAATATGAAATATACAAATTTATCCGAATTAATATTTTATTCGAATAAAAATTCATTCAAATTAGAATTTATTCGTACGGGAATTAAAATGGTTTTACCATAGTTTATCGATCTATTTCTTCTATATACCCTTTTACGATTAACTATTTTTCAAACGTTGCATCAGGAAGTTGCTTTTGGGTAGATTGATTTACGTAAAAACAAACACAGTCGACAATCATTCGCATTACAGTTCGAATCATTTTACAATCTCTATTTGATTAATTTATTCGAATAATTGTTTCTAATTTATTCCAATAATTTCCTCGAATAGAAAATTATTCGAAGAATTATAGAATAATTTACGACGAATACTGAATAATTGTTATTCGAATAAAATAGTCGACCAAAAAGTATTAATCCGGATAAATATTTCAGATAAATATTTCTCCGAAACAATTCGAATCACGCCCAACTCTGGTCGAAACAAATCGGGTAGGTATCGTCGTCGGAACGCAACACGGACAGACGAGCTTCGAATTTTAGTCATCAAGCGGTTCCAGCATCGATATCTCCGGATCTGCCCGATCTCGAAATGATCAGTTTGCATCGGGAAGTCTCGATTAGTAACTAACGAAATAGCTATCCGTTTCTTCCCGAAGAATCCGACCGCAACACATATTAATCTAGCGGGCCGAGTTTTTCGTTCGGGAAAACGTTGAAAGGTATTGTTCGACTTCTCGATCGGGGGTGGACGTTTCCGCAGGGTCTCTCTATCTCTCCAAAGATCGCAGTGAGTGGGGCTTTTTAATCTTGTACACGAGGCGTGCACGAGGTGGGCAGGGGTGTACGTGAGCGCCCCGAGGCAACTCGCGTGTCCTTTAATACGTTACTGCCCGCCGCCTACACCCACGCCTCATTGGCGTAACGCTCCCTCGTTCGTGACGTGATTTTCGAGTATGCAAAACGACTTTTCCAAGAATAGCTCTTCCGTGTACGGAGTTTATCTGAACACCTTGAAAAATTGCAAACACCGGTGCGAAAGCCGCGCTCCGGTCGTGCCGACGGAATAGAGAATAACAATTTCTTCGGAAATTTCTCAGCGGCGAACGATAAAAACTGTATAAAACGCGATAATAGAAAGGTTCGGGCTGAAATTGCACAGCCTTTTTTTCATCACTCCTCGAACATAGGGGGTAACCGAGTCGCCGCATTCGTCGTTGTCCAAAATCGCAATAACTTCGTTTCCCACGTGCCGAAGTCCCATTTCGTTCGACACCATCGATAAATAGAATCAACAAAGTCCAAAGAGATCGGCGATGGTCGGCATTCGACGCGGAAATCTCGCAAGGCGTCGAGCTTTGTATCGCTGCAGCCGCTGATCGAGATATTGGGGTGGCGGTAGCAGCTTCTCCTCGGATACGACCAAAAAGGCAACGACCGATAGCTAAATATTTCTCGCGCGACCAAGCGTAGGATCACCGGAGGTTCTCAAATCAAGATCCGACGGGAATTCCACCTGGACTCGCTCCAATAAAATCGATTTCGATCACGAGCTACGAGCGTGCGGCGTAGCTACGGCGATTCTCGATAAAGAGATAAATTCTACGAAGGTAGAAGAGGAATGCTCGAGCGGTAGGACTGCCGTGTAGAAAGAGAGAGAGAGGGAGGAGAGAGAGAGAGAGAGAGAGGGTGACGCCAAGAAAGAGAGAGGAAAAGAGAGGGACTCGAAGAGAAAAAACAGTTTCGTGAACGCGTACGCCGTTGCAGTCGTGGAAGCAGGCGGTCGTAGCCGGCATTAATACGGCATTTAATGCTGGAAGGAGGCGTTCCTGGGCTGGAGGACCCGAGGCGGCATCTATCCTTCTTCCCGATCCTTGCGGTGCTCTCTAACAGAGATCTCTGTCTCTTTCCTCCTGTCATCGCCCCGGACCTAAAGCCTCAACCGCCATCAACGGCACAAGAATCGTTATTGTTTCTGAGATCGTCGATCCGAAAGATAGCCATCGACACCGACAACCTCCTTTTTCACTTTTTCACCTTTTTTTCTCCCCTTTCCCCGTTACTTTCTATTTTCCGTACCGTTCTCTTTCTTTTTTCTCGTTCTTTCCGATCAGCACGAAGATGCAACGCACGGAAATATTCCACCGTGACATTTTTGGACTTTTCCCGGGAGCGATGTGCGTCCTGCGGAGAGTTCCATGGGTCAAGTGTTTAGGTCGAGTAAGGGCCTCTTATTATGGTGTTGGTTTTCCAATGCCGTAGATCCGGTGGTTACTATTAATACTCAGACAACTTTTAAAGCGCAATGATGTTTTTAAATCTGCACACCGAACGACACGAATTTCTTTTAGATGATAGATAGACTAGTCTACTATAGACAATAACTGAAATACCTTTTTTTTTTTAATTTTGCTGTTACTTGGAATGACAGGAAAAAGATTCGGTATAAAAAGAATTATAACGAAAATTTAACAGGCGTTACGAGCGGTGACAGATATTAAAAACTGCAGACCGTGATAAAATTGCGATGTTCGTTATGTTTATTTGCTTACTGTTGGCATGTCGATGAAATTTCAGCATGCACATAAATCACCGAGATCTACAAAACGCATTTCTTAAATTTTCATTTCAGTTTCAAATAGTAAAGTTAAGAAACGAGAGCTTCTTATCTTTTTTCGACATTTCAAACAATAGCAAATTTAAAAAAGAAACATTGTAGTCATTGCGCAGTAGACTAGTCTCTCTATTATCTAAAACAATTCAAGTCGTTTAGTCCAGTTTTAAACAAATTATTCCGTTTCAAAGGGTGTGCGAATATTAATAAAAGTCACTGTGGATTATAAGAAGATGTGAAACTTTATAAGAGATGTACGAGTTTGATTGGCAATGACACTGTGCGATGACTAGACTGCGGATCTTTATGCAAAATAAAAATTAGTTGATTTAATTGTAAGAAATATAAATTAGATGAAAGTATCGTTTCCCTTTGAAAACGATGTAACAATATCCTTAAATTCTTACCTATTCATGTTTATCATAAATGCATAAAATCCGCTGCCTAGTGATGACGTGGAGTCGATGAATGTAAATACTGCGGTATGCTAACTAATTACGTGTGATTTGTATGAATGCCAATCGGACAGAAGAACGAGTATGGGACGAGTGCGAGAGACCTCTTGAGATAAAGAGAATGAATTTTGTGCAATAGAGTAACAGGTGCGTTAGCACTCGAATGGCGGATTCAGGATCCATTCGGATCCAGACTGGAAAAATTGATATTTAAATGTCAAGTTTCTGACAACTGATTTCAATGTTCACATGTTTCGTTAAAGCCTATGGAAAAACTAACGAATCTAGAAGGAATACCGTGAAAAATATGTTGAAAAAAATTGGTAAATGAGAAGATAAATGATCCTAAGTATTCCGAGTTGTTTTCTCAGAAAGACCTGCCATTCGAGGGTTAAGAGAGTTAATAAAGACAGCATTAATAAAGTAACGAATGAGATATATAAGAGTTGCGAGATCAATTACATTAATTCGTCGATTATTGTTATATGTAAAACTGTCAGATTCAAGATCAGAATGTATTGATATGTTATAAGTATTGATTTTAACTTATTTTTTATGAACGTTAATAATTTTCTGATATTCGACTATAATTATGTAATCAGAAAATTAAGTTTAAGATCGGACGATCTTAATTCCAACGTCATTAACCCTTTACGGACGCGACTATTTGCGGGAAGATTTTCGGAAGGTGTGAGATTTCGTAGAAAGGTGAAATACACTTGAATTATCTGTTCATTATTTAAGATATTCATTAATAATCTTTTCTTGGCAGTTTCTCAATTTGTAGCCTTTAATTTTTTTTTACAGTGTTATACTATTTGAATGAATCGTCTATGTACATAAATGATTTGTTGTTGGTCCGACGAGACATCGTACAAATTTCAAACGCGATATTTGCTTTCATATTGTTATTCCGATCAACTCAATTATACAATATACGATCAATTTTTAAATTTTGACATGCACTCTGTTGTTTATATTTCACTTTCTGGTTTTCGCTAAAATCTTCTGTTTATGTTGCACTCGTATCCCAAACACTCAACATCCTCACAATTCTTTTATCTTTCCAAGATAAACGGTACGTAAATCTAAGTTCTGAACGCTAGAAATGTTTTGGCCATTGTCCGCAGACAGTTGTCCGCAAAAGATCAGCATTGTTCACGAAGAGCACTGAATATTTTAACACTAAACCTATCGAGTATTATAAATGACTGACGTTTGTTGTTCTGTAAGGATGATAACACGGAATTTACCTAGAATCTGTGCCATTTTCATTATAATTTACACTCGCGAATTGAGAAATTTATTTAAACAGTTGCCGTAGTAAAGTATCCATAATACCAACAATTTTAAGTGGGACTGGTTATTATGACCAGTATGGTAAGTTTTGCACAAGACTTGTTTTAAATTATTTTGCGCCGCTTATGTGCAAAGCTCATCTTTGTAAAACATATTCGTATGATAAAATGTTTCACAAATGGTTTCCTTACGGACAAACTTCAGCTGTGTGTATTAAACAAATAAATGGAAGATTGCAGGAACTATATTAATACGCATGATTACTTTTTGTCGAAATACTTACGTTATATCAACAAGGTTCACACACTATTTCCTTGCTGCTAGGTTTTCTTAATTTTCACTTTACTTCTCAATGGTAAATTTGAACATTTTTAGACACGTAAGTTAATTTTCTATTCAATAAAACGATAAGTTCACATCAGAATTTATAAACTTATTATGAGAAATTGAGAGTATATTTTTGAATCAACAGTTATCTTAACGTAGAAAAATAATGAAATTACAGTGTGTACGATATATTGCAAAGAGAAGAATATTTGAAAGTAGCATATCCACCTCGAAACCTGCGCTTTCAGCTGCGCTATCGAAAAACATTTCATGACGCTTAGTGTGTTATCAAAGAATCTAAGCGTAGTATGTAAGTACATACCTAGTTACGCATACCTCATAGATTACAGTGTCTTGTACGTGTAATAATAACATAAAATGTGCCGTATGAAATGTGTATTTTGCTTCGGAAATGATCATACACGATTGTAGCACAGTATACGTTGCATTTGCAAACTGAAAATACCCAGTGAAGGCTAATGCTGGATGTCATAACGTCGAACTTACTTATCTTTCTTCGTTCACTGAAATTCAACGAAAAGCTTACAATTTCTAATTTGTAAATAATCGAACATCATCATTGGTTAAATGATTTATTAAAATATTAATTCCGCACTTGTAACAGATAATTATAAACAAACGAAGCTGTTGTATAATATTACCGCTTAAAACCGTAAACTATGTCACTTTTGCATAAAGAATATCTGAATCGTGAGCAAAGTAAGACGAAACCAAAGAATACTGTGCTCTATTCAATACTGTACAAAATTTTCCTTACTTTACAAAACTTTCCTTAATTTATAGAACGATGAATTGAGGTGAATAAAATGTTAAGTTTGTATTCGTGTAACGATACGTAATTGTAAGAAACTGGGTAAGAATAAAAATGTATTTCTTCGTTCGAGAGTTTTAACACATTTTAACAATAACGTTACAGTATTTTTAAATTCCACTAACTTCTTTATAGTTTTGTATTGCACCTAACCATTTCTGTTATAAATGCATAAATTCCGTCAAAATGCATAAAAAATGGATAAAGATTAATTGTAGAAAAACAAACAGTTTACAAGTAGAATTTCGAGACACTGAACGTTATTGTTCACTAACATGTGTATTGTTTATGGACCGAATTTGTTGTTAAGATAATTTAGAATCAAGTTAATTTATAGTAGTTTATAATTAACTTCACTTGTCTTTTTAACATTTTTGGCATATATAAATTATGTTTTGTGGGACAGTCAGGACAAGATATCCAATATAATAATTACAGTGTGCTTCTTTATGCATTTCTGGTAATTATGAATATGTAAAATAGAAGGAAGTGAACATTAACAAACTTCACTGGCATTTCCAGTTTAGTATACTAACTTCTTATTGCACCACCTGTACGATTTGCATCATTTCCAATTTTGAATTTCTGATTTATTTGAATTGCTTTATCTTGATTGATCCACTATCTTGATCACTTACTCTCGCTTGATTAAAATAGTTCACATAAACAGGAATATGCAAGAAAATTTGCAGCTCAATCATAGAATTTAGCCCTACCAGGTCATCAAATGGAGTGACAGATATATTAGATTGAATTATGATTAAATTTATAATTGAGCTGTACGAAATATCAGGTCTTTGCATAAAGATCCTCAATCAACATACTAATGTTTCACTATATTAAATATAACTTTGATATGTGATCGCAATCGGCTGAATTAATTTCTGTCAGCTGAATGCAGCAGTACTTCTCGTCTGATTTAAATGTATAAAGATTATGTTTTCCTCGATTTCTAAATTGAATTATTTAGTACTGTATACTAAATACGTATAAGCGACGATATTATATTTAAGAAAATAATAGACATTCGGTTATCTTGTTTTTCAATACGTCAACTTTAACGCCAATGAGAACATTTCTATGAATTCTGATGACACTTATTTCGAATAGGAAGGTTTCTCGGATCCTCCAAGCGTCAGTTCTATCAGTAGACTGCTTCGCGGTGGACGACCTGGCGATGATGGAAAGAAGGATTACACAATAGACGGCATCCTAGGAGGTGGTAAGTAATTGAAGTTTTATATAATTCTCGTTTTGTCATAAATATTTTTTAAATTCAGAACAAGAACTGCATTCTTATTGCATTTTTCATGAATTCACGAGTATGTTCGACAGATAGATTCGATTAACGCTTTTGGCTCATTATCGATCACAAATGTTAAAGAAAAATATCTTGGGAACAGAAGAATAACAGATATATTATTATAAACTCTAGAATCACTAACGATTACGTCAGCTTAAATTAATTAACGGCTTTAATCCGGATTTAATTTAATCAGATACATAAAATCTCTTTTACCAAAAAATTAAAAACAAATCAGATTACTTTGCTCATGTGTCTATGTATGTATGTATACATTTTCTTACATTGCATCCAATACAAACTCGTTTATTATTAGATGCACAGAGGAAAATCGGCAAATGTAGAATTGTACCATTTTTAAAAATGTGACAAATTAATATCAATGAAATGATTTATTACGAATAGATAAGATCGTAATGAATTTAATGCAATAAATAAAAGAAATAACAACTTTTTGCTGGTTTCTTTTTAAATACCGTACCAATTGCCAATGCTCTATATTTGCCAACTAATTCCGTATACAGTGCATTTCACTATTTTTTAAAACTGTTTTAGTATTAAGAATTTTTCATTACTTTAGGAATTTAAAACTTTTCTAAACTGATAGTCAGAAGTATAATATGGTACAACTG